CCCGTTTTGGTGCAGGAATTATGCATCAACCTAATAGTTTCAACGAATTTGCCTGATTCGGTAGCTTGAAAAGAGTTTTTGCATTTGAATGTGCCCAAGCAAAACGTATTGGTAACTCAGGAACCTACAAGATCTTGAATTGGATCTTGAACAGAAACAGTAAAATCAAGATCTGTTGAATTATAGTAGCTAGACTGGAAAACTCAATAAAATAATATTTTATTTTTTGGTGAGTTTACGCCCTACTCTCTTTAAGTGAGAAAAACTTGTGCTCATGGAATGTGTCCATGCATCTGTACGTTCGGAATTGGCCATTATCTCGTTCTATAAAACATTACAAAAAGTGTAATATAACGAATCAAAGCCTTTTAGGAAGATGTTTAAACGCTACTTATTCTTTTATGCAAAACTTATGCAACCTGATAAAAAAGGCTGAAGCTTCCAAACTCACCCGATCATGACATTGGGACTCTGATGGATAAACAGGCTGTTCTCGTCTAAGGAGGCTACAGTACTCTCTTTACACTTGGGACCAGTAGATCCAATCGGACAACCGCATCTCGTGTGAATGTCACCGATCGAGATTAGCGGTCTACATGTTTGAGACTGAGGACACTTGACTGTGTCGCAGACCTGGAATTGGATTTTTGAGGATTTTTTCTCCAATAAAAGAATGGGGAGGGGGCAACAAGGAAAGGGAACTTACCTCTCCTTTTTCATCACAATGGGGACCACGATAACCCTGATGACAAAGACAAAGTGCTCCTGCTGTGGATTCCACACATTTGTCTGCGTGTACACAAGAAAGGCAGGAAGTGGCCTAAACTATGGAAAACTTATTTTAGCCAGCCAGTGTAGTCTAAGAGAATAGCAGAGAATTTTTTTCGAAAAAAATTTAGGGAAAGGAAAACTCACCACTGGTCCAAGCGTAGTTACAGCAGTCGTTGTCACAGTATTGAACGAGGAAAATGAAAGAGTTGTGAGCTCTTCTACCTTTGGCACCCATTCGGCTGCCTAATGAGACATTTGCTAAATTTTTACAAATTCCAGTTTTTCGTTTTTCGTACCTGACTTTCACACAGAGGTCCTTCAAAACCAGGAGCACATTCACATGAAAATCCGTTATCAGAACCTGAAAAAAATAAAATAGGTTAATGTGTGCTTTCCTAACACAAATTTAGACTTACCATCGGCGAAACATTTTCCGCCATTTGTGCAAGGGTTCGGATCACAGGTAGATGAGGTGCCTACTGTTTCAGAGCATGTCTCTCCAATAAATCCTTTAGGGCATTCACAAGTAGCGAATGTGCCATCGTCATGGCAAGTACCTGAATAAAATTATTGTTAGAATGAGTTCTGAGGAAAACTTATGAGAATAGAAGGTCGTGTTATCTTTAAAAAAGGGGGTCAGATGAGGAGAAAATCGGAGCGAGCAGTGCCTAGGAATCTGCTGATTCTATATGGAAAACGGAGTACCTCTACATTACCCGGACCGATTTTGTCAAAGTTCTCATGCAACGTGCTCTAATTTAGAAAGAACTTTTACGAAAACTGTCTACCTGCCTGTCAGGAAAGAATCAACAGATTTTGATTAAGTTTGACATTT